GGGCTGGGCCGGTTGCCCGGAGTGGGGCACGGGGAGTATTGGGAGGCTGGGACCCGGCAGCAGGAGGTGGCCAGGCAGGGCCGGCTGGTTCGGGGTGGACGGGAGGCTGCGTTTCCCCCCTGCCCAGCTGATGCTGTCTTGTGTCCCCTGTGGCAGTGGCTCCACTCGCCCACCCTCCGCCCGCAGGGCCATGGGGGACCTGGGCCTGGGCCAGGAGTTCCACACATGGCATCAGTTCAGCAGCTTCTTCGATGACTGGTGCGAGAAGCACAAGGTGCTATTCATCATCGCCAGCCTCAAGCCGCTGATCTCGCTGCGCCAGAACCCGCTGCACTACCAGCCCAGCCTGGCCGCCACCCTGCGCTTCCGCTTCGTCCGCCTCATCTGCAAGCACAGCGGCACCTACGTGGGCCAGAGCACCGTGCAACGCAACCGGCTGTGAGTGGGATGCCCTAGGGCTCGCTGCAGGGCCGTGCCCCCCCGCCCCAAGTCCACACTCTGCAGCATTTAGTTTCTGCTGGCAGATCTTCCCCCCGCTATCCTGACTCTGCTGTTACATGGCGCTCTGCTCTCCCCCGGGTGAAACTGGGGGCCTGTCGTGTTCCCCCGGCTGTTTTGGGCCGGGGGGTCCGTGCCTGGGCCTGGGGGAGCTGCCATTAGCCTTGCCAGGGGATTGCTGGGCATTACTGGGTTGCGTTTGGCCTGGCCAGGAGGTTTCCAGGCTGGGCCATGCCCAGTGTTAAATGTGCCGGTGATGGGGCTCCCCCGCGTGCCCTGGAGGCAGCAGTTTGCAGCCTGAGCTCCTCTTCCTGGTTCTGTGCTCTGTGGCACCCGGCAACACCGCCCCATGGGGCCACGGCCCCTCTCCATTTAGTCCCCCCAGGTCAAGGGATGGGTTGGACACCAGGTGGCAAGGTAGGCGGCTTGCCGGAGTGACTTCCACTGCCCATATCACTGGCAGCAGCGGGTGATGTCTTTATCTGCTTCAGGCTCACCCCTTCTGCCAGACCCTAGAGGCTGTCCCCACCCCCATCCCCTCCCACATGGCTGCCCCATGCTGACCCCTCCGTTTCCTCTCCCCAGCAGCGAGAAGATCGACTGCCCGGCCTCCATCACGCTGCG